CTTAATGCAATTTATAAAAGTATCAGCTCCTGCATTGCACATAGATTAAAAATATTTGAGATGAACTTATTCACTCTAACCAAACTGGTTTTATACGATATGCAAAATAAAGAAATCTTAAGGATAATAAATTCGTCACACGGTGTTTTGAAAGGGTGTACGGGACTGTAAGACTTACGACCCGTACACCCTTTCAAAACATCATGCAACTAATAATATATCATGATAAAATCTGTCGAGAAAAGACAGTAAAACTACCAAAATATAATATAATATGGTGTCAGCATCTCGGACATTCCGTGGTTGATAGGGAGCAGGGGAGCCGAATCATGTTTCTTTCATTATGGCGTTACAACAATCTGGTTCACCAAGAAATGAACAGAAAAGGCGTTTGGATGAATTTGACCAAACTGCAAGAAATATCTCTTCAAATGTCGGTTCATGCTCTAGATTTCTGGATGTTGAGGGTAAAGATAGGGCAAAGGACATTGCAACAGAGCTGAAGGAGCAGGTCCTAGATTTTCGAAGTTCTCTTAGCGCTAAGATAGTCGTAAGTGCCATACATTAACATTAACTTACGACTATTTTAGCGCTCTGAGAGCTTCGAAAATTTAGACCCAGGCTGTTATAGCGGTGAAATGTTTTACCATCAAGAGAGAGGTTGCCATCATTAACACCAACAACTATCTATTGACATTTGCTCTTGCAACCATTCCCCTATCAATCAAAGCAGGGTACTTCAATATCGCAATGGAAGTGTATGTCCCAAATCTGCTACCGTGTTACACAGCCAACACTTTGATCGAAATCGTGTCATGGTAGTCGAGACCGCCATGATGATACACAGACTGCCACAAAGAATATAAATGTGCGAATTGTGAAGGTCCACACCCTGCTTCATCACGATCCTAACGTGTTAAAAAAACCCGTCATATTTAGATGCCAAACAACTGTATACAACACATACCTCAACTCCGTCGGATATAACATATTCCGCTGCAATGATTCGTGCGGTAGCAACATCCTCTATTGCATGTCAGACTGACTTGACATGGATCAAGTCAGAAAAATCTGTTCCAGCCACTCTAAGTCCGCAGTCACTCAGTCTACTTCCCCAGTTACTCAGTCAATGCCAAACAGAGAGTCTGCCTGAAAAACAATCTGAAACATGTGTTTCACAGCCAGTGCAAGATCATTAAAACAGATCATTAAACAAGAAAGGAAATTAAATAGAAAACAACTCCCTACTGTCCATTCATCTTCAGAGGTTCCTCTAGAAAACCCATTCTTTTCCCCTCAAAAGAAAAGCTCCTCTACATATTCACGAGAGAGATCGCCAATTGAGCCACCGACTCAAAAATACCTTCAATTATACAATAATACAATCATTGATACACTTTGTCTTCAAGAGACATACCTAAAATACAATTATCTTTAACTTAAAACAGTACAGCGATTACCATTCCTTTTTCTAATCTAGGAGATAAAGCTACTGGAGGTGTTTCTGTTTTTGGTACGGTAGGTTATTATACATAACCCTGTCTCTCTTAATATCAATCTTCAGACTGTAGTGAGTAAGTAGGTAAATGTTGCAGCTACTAGTATTCGCGGCTAGAAAAACGAATATATTTCCTATGTAAATTAATGAATATAGATATCTAGGTAAATGATGACGAAGATCACTCAAACTTTAGCGCGTTATCACAGTGTACAATATAAACTGAAATTGAAAAGATAAAATTTACATCTTGTCATACAGTGTTATTGCCTTCAAATATTCTGAAACCAAGTGTTTCGAAATTGTAGTAAAAAGTTCATAAATGGTTTGAACATTTGAGGAATTAGTCCCAGATCTGCATATTCAAACAAAAGATGTTGACGGTGAAAGGACTATGACAAGGGATGCACATTAGTGCATATTCGCCCTGTAAAAGATATCAATGAGGAAAATGTGAATGTCCAATACGACATCTGTTGAAAAGGACTTCATCCCTGCGACAAGATGATTCCTGCCATTTGATTCTACCTATATTGCCATTGAGTAATTCAAATCAGAGAATAGTAGTTTGCAGTCTGAAACCGTTTGATGAAGTGCACCTTTGGTTGCAGTAACAGCTCTGTTGTTACCAAATATACCTGCATGACCTGACAACTAGCAAAATACAACAACATGATCTTGTGTAGCTAAACGATTATGAAAGCTCCAACTGTAAGAAATAAATGGATGATCACATTTCATGTACTTAAGGACCGTTCATAATTAATGTGTGTGTGTGTGTGTGTGTGTGTGTGTGTGTGTGTGTGTGTGTGTGTGTGTGTGTGTGTGTGTGTGTGTGTGTTTTGATGATTTTTATGGAGAAGCATGTACGATGTGAATGACATCCCCTACAATCCCAGAACGAAATGGGTGACCCCAGCCCATCCTCCCCTCCCCTTAAATTCATCATGATCCCACCCGGGCCATAAATTATAAACGGTGTCTTAATAGTTTGTAAGCGAGACAAAAAATCAGAGAAAATTATGGCTGTTTTAATATTTATATTGTCTATATGGTTTAATGCAAAGATCCATCACAAGGGATAACTATTTCAAAGTATAAACTATGAAGGATCTTTTTAATAATGTCAGTTCTCATTTAATTATTGCATTTTTAAAACAATTCGATTTGTTAAGTGATTTGTAAATAGATATATATTTTAGTATTGGCAGTTTGAATTAGTAACTGAGATTGTTAATGGCTGTACCCTCAAAGGGGGTTGAAGTAGCGTAAAATTATTGTCCTCCTGCGAGGGTACGTAAGTCCCAAACCATTTCAAGTCAATTTAAGTGTACCAGGTTTTTAATCGTAGTATTTTTGTGTTTTTAATGTATGGCTAAATCTCAGCATCAACGCCAATGGCTGAAGGGATGGTGTAAATCCAGCTGGGGGCCATGCAGGTAGCAAACGTAATGTAAGTCCCCATGGGCCCTAGTATGGTGATCTGCCTTCAGTTGTTGGCGATCTATAGCCCGTATTTTATATTGTATTGTCTTCTTTGATTGGAATATTTTAACTTTGCTCGCTAGTTTTATATTTATATCTGTGATTCTCTAGTATTTTTACTGTCCATCGTCGACAGGTTTTAATCTTCACAATGTTTCCACCTTTTATTGTATTGATTGTTTTCGTCACGATATGGCGGAGATATTGCCGATGTGACGTTAAATAGTAACTCCCTCACATAATGCAAAGAGAAAAGCCTTTGCTTAAGCACTAAACATTGAACTATTTTGGGGAAGTCGAACAGAATATGTATGCTGGCCTGCCACTGCAGCAGCTGCAACTCTGTATGTCGTATATGGTCAGGCTGTAGCAGAAGTTCCGGGTTAGAATCGATCTTCAGCAACCCATGTTTGTCGAAACAGGCGACTAACGGGATCGGGTGGTCAGGCTCGCTGACTTGGTTGACACATGTCATCGTATCCCAATTGCGTAGATCAATACTCATGCGGTTTATCGCTGTATTGTTTGGTTCAGACTCGATTATTTACAGACCGCTGCCATACAGCTGGAATATTGCTAGGTGCGGCGTAAATCTATATTCATTCACTCACTGTTGCTGTACCTCTGACTCTGCACATTGCTTTGACACATTCGGGTCTCCAAAATTTGTATGATAAGCTTCCAAAGCCATGAGTTATCATGGGTGATCTGAACGGACACAACCCGCTTTGGTGCAGTGCCCATACGAATGCTAAAGGTACACTCCTTGAGGAATTCATGTAAGACAATAACATATTTAACGATGATTTAACCACATCCAGCTACTGGAACATATACAGCTTGTCGTTTGATCGGGATCGGACACTCGCTGACTTGGTTGACCCATTCCAACCCAATATAATGAATTTGAATGGATGGTCCACTCGATGACCGCCGCCATATAGCTGGAAATGTGCGGCGTCACTCATCACTTCCCCACCTTTTTCAAAACTATCAACCCTGGCGATGGTCCATCTTTATCAAGGAGGTACTTCGCCAGGGCTGATTGATCATTATATACTCGCGTCATTAATGAAGGGTCAAGCTATTGGTAACACTGTTTCGTAAAAGTTGTAAAACCTTCGGGTTTTTTAAAATTTATACAACTAAATGTTTTACAAACTTTCTTAACAGTATGGAAAAACACATCAGGCCTTTGAAATGTCATTATTACGTTCTGTAACGTCCGATACATTCTGATAGAAATGGCACATTTTTTATTCAAATTGTCCATATGGAAATCCACCTGCCACTTAATGTCAATGATTTGCACGTGCAAGTCGCTTTTCACTGTCGTTCACCGTTCAGGTACCTGTTTGAAATCGCAGCTTAAAATGAGACGTTTTTGACACTTGATGAAAGGGGTCAGGCTATAGGCCGTTTGGAATCTGGTCAACAGATTCCTTAACGCAGCAGATCTGCAGACTGAACACTTCAATGTCGGTCATGGTTTTGGCAGGGATAACTCCTATTAGACGTACTCCACTACACGTGGTCGACGTAATCTTACCGGACGAGATTCCTGCAAGCTATGCATAGCTTTTATGGTCTATCCTCTTTACTGCAAGACAACAACACTAGGGCTCATAGGATCATGATTGTCACGGAATTCCTTAGGCAGCAGGGTGTAGAGCAGATAGAGTGGCCAGTATGCTCGCCAGACATCAACCCAACTGAGCATGCCTGACGGGAACTCGGTCGACGTGAGTACACACGTCACCCAGAACCGGTGGATCTCCCAGGACTCCGCAGAGCTCTAGTAGAGGAATGAAATGCGATTCCGCAAGCTTTCTTTATGAACTTGATAAGGAGCATGAGAACAAGGTGCACCTGTGTCTTGGACGCGCTAGGAGGGTACACGATATACTGAATAACCGACTGCTTCATTTTTGTCATTTTCATTTTGGGAAGGTTGGTCTATACAGCTGATGTTTGCTAGTGCTGTTTGAACTTTTTTGTCAACACATTAAACATTATGATCACATTCTTAGTTCTATTATTTCTGAGAAACGTTTCTTTACATGTGCTTTATATCATTTGTCCCTCTATTAATGACGCCTAGTAATCTCTATTGTCAATTGAATATTATCAGAAAGAGAATGCAGACTTTTATGTTTATGAGTGAGCTCCCTTTAATAGTTAATATTGGTAGGCGGTGTGGCATTCTCCGCTGTAATAGAATATGTACATTTTGTGCGTTAGATGTTATTGTAATTCACCAATGATGTTTAAGTTTAGAACTCTTCTAACATGTAATAAGATAAATATTTTGTTAACTGTTGCAAAGTTTATAAGGGAAGCTATATTTCTCAAAAATTCCCATCTGTCTTTATAATGATTATTTTGAATTATTTTGTACATGGGTCGTTGACCTGTATACTGAATAAAGAAATTGAAAGCTCAATGAATATATTTTTGGGAAGACTCATGTAAATCGCTTATGACGTCATAAACAATGTTTGCGACGATATGGTGAGATTTTTCATGTCTATTTTGCAAATAGTGAAAAGAGTGGAACAACTGTAACAAATTATCCAAACAGCATGATGCTAAACATATACTGATAAATGATAATTGCTGAAAATATTTTCACTTTTACCCATGCCTCTATGAATGGAGAAACGCACTGCTTCAACAACTCGTTTCGAAAAAGTCACATTTTGTGTCAGATGAGCCAGTCCCACAAACATTTTCAGATGTATTGGTGTGACATAACTGTTGATCATAATATCACCTTGTTGGCAAGTACATCAGGATTGCCACATGAGTACATTGTGTGAAGCCAATTTCTGGTGTCCCCGCCGTGATATTGCGGGAATATTGCTAAAAGCGGCGTAAAACCCAACTCACTCATCAGGATTGTTGCTGTATGGCCATCAGTGTTTGTTTAATTCCCTTGTATCTGTTTATAGAGCACCAGATTATATCCCCGGTTTTGTAGAACGTATTCCTGTAGAGTCCATTCAAGTTGCACACTTGGCAAGATGAGTACCACCATCCACCGAAGTAAAGCGAGGCACAGTTCTGTTCCGAAATGTCGTTGTCCCTGTCAACCGTTGTAAATCTGCTACCATTATGGGCAATCAGACAGTCGAACGTAAGGGCAAGGTGACCTGGTTTGAAATTGGCCACAATAAGTTGGTACTGCTCGGCCTCTGATCGCACCCGGAAGTCGCCGTATTCAATGCTATATCTAACATTGTCAAACGTTGTCAGCTCAATGTGAAGCCTGGTGTAACCTACAACAATAGGATGTTATAGCGTCATTACGTGAATTATTATTACTGCAGAAAGAGAAGGAGAAGTACAGTCATGACACGAGTGGTGTGGGATCCAAAGGTCAATAGCTGCCAGTACCAGGACATGAATAATTGATGTTACGGAAAAAGTAATTACAGCCTTGATAATGAGCACTAGGCGAACCCCAAAAATATGAGAATACAAGTCGATAGATGTCAGTACCAGGACATGAATCATTAAAGCTTTTGAAAGAGCAGTTTAACCACAGGCATGATAATGGGCACAAGGCGAACTCCCAAAGGTGGGAATACTTGACGATAGTATCAGTACCAGAAAATATATCATTAATGTTTACGGAAAGGTACCAGAAAATATATCATTAATGTTTACGGAAAGAGGAAAGTAAATACAGCATTGACAATGAACACAATGCGAACTTTCAAAAGGTGGGAATACTTGTCGATAGGTGTCAGTACCAGTAGATGAATCATTAATGTTTACGGAAAGTGAGTGAGTGAGTTAATATTTAACGTCACATGGGCAATATGTCAGCCATATCGTGACGAAAACAATTGATAAAATATAAAGAGAAAACGTTTTGAAGATTAAAACCTGTCGACGATGGACAGTAAAAATACTAGAGAATCACAGATATGAATAAAACTAGCGAGCAAAGCTAAAACATTTCAATTAAAGAGGACAATACAGTGTAAAACACGGGCTATACATCGCCAACAACTGGTTTACGGAAAGAGTTAAGTAAATCCAGCCTTGACAATGTGCACAAGGCGAACTCCAAAAGGTGGGAATACTTGTCGATAGGTGTCAGTACCAGCACATGAATCATTAAAGCTTTTGAAAGAGAAATTTAGACACAGACAGAACACTTTGGTCTGGGAATACAAGTCCGATAGGTGTAATTCATGTACATGAAGCCACTGTAACGGAGTGAGTGAGTGAGTGAGGGTGGGTGCTTTTACGCCGCTTTTAGCAATATTACGGCGGGGGAGACTAGAAATGAACTTGATGCATTGTGCCCATGTGGGGAATCGAACCAAGGTTTTCAGCGTGACGAGCGGACGCTTCAGGAACTAGGCTACCCAACCGCCCCTGTAACAGAGTGAGTGAGTGAGGTGACGATGCGTGGCAACAAACTCCCTGACAACTCTGATGTGAAAATGTTGATAAAAATCACAATAACTTTAACTTCCATGCCCGCTCGATAGACTGAATCCCTGAATGAACCTTACTGGGTGGAATTCCTTATAGCTGAGTCCCTGCAGGTTTTGGGGAAACGGACAATTTTTGTTTTTTTGTTTTGATTTTAACAATTTTATATAAAATAAGTGTCAAACATTTACACCTTACTTGTGTCAGTTTGGGTGGATATTCGTTTCTCATAATTTGACATACATTTGTCGGACACGACAAGTGATTCCTGTTTTTAGGAACAGAACTATCAGTGTGTGTGTGTCCTGAATGTTGATAAATAAATCAAGCGTATTTAAATTTGTTTCATAATGAATTCAAAGCAAGATAAGTATTTGCAACAAAAAACATAAAATGCAACAAAAATAATTAAAACTATGAATTTTTAAAAATTATTTTTCAGGAAATGAAAGCCATGCGTCATCGTAATAGACATGCGTCATCGTAATAGAAAGGTCGCTTATTGTCACGAATACCGTATTCCTCTCTTAAGTGCCCGGGCGCTTTTTTTTCAACAGACTTCCAGACCCGGCGCTTACTAGAGGCCCGGCGCTTTTTGGAGACACGGCGCTTATTGGAGACCCGGCGCTTATTGGAGACCCGGCGCTTATTGCGCTCACTGGGTGTACCGTAACTAATTGTTAGTGAGCGTTACGTCAAAGTTAGGGACGATTCCTGAATAAATCTAGTTTGCGATCAAGGAAGAATACATTTATGAAAAAAACTTACCCGGCGCTTATTAGAGGCCTGGCGCCTATTACAAATTCAGCTCTTATTAGAGATTCGGCGCTTAATAGAGACTCGGTGCTTATTAGAGGTAATGCGGAATGTTCAAACTAAGACACATTCTATATCCGGAATTGGGGGCCTTCACAAGTATCTGTAACTATGCTCGATGGAAATGTTTGGCCACGTTCAGGCTCAACGTTCATACCTTTTCGTGTCAGCTTGTGAATGTTCTCATTTCCGAACCAGAAATCTCCATCTATATCTCCAAAGCCGTCTCTGTAGTCTTTCCACGTTCTGGTGAAGTTCACGTCCCCTGTCCTTCTCCTCTGTATGATGATCCGATCTGGCGCTGCACAAGAAAACATACGAGTGAGTGAGTGAGTGAGTGAGTGTTTTATCGCCGCCTTGATCAGTACAACGGTTACATCAAAGCGTGTCAGCTTCATGCAGACACGTAAGAATTCGTGTAAGAGGTCAAACCCAATTCGTCAGATACCCCAGTTCTTAGGCACTCATGTACTTGTCATATGTCAAACCGTATGAAATTCCCTTGTAGTGGTAATGGACGATATTTAGTATACTTACTCATCTGCACAGTTAACGCTGCACTATTTTGATGTATAAAATTATGAACAAAATAGGATGTCCAACGTCAAATGACCCTAACCATGTACTACAATAATCCAAATAAGAGTGAGTGAGTGAGTTTGGTTCTACCCCGCTTTTAGCAATATTCAAGCAATAGCACCGCGGGGGACACTAGAAATGGGCTTCACTCATTGTGCCCATGTGAGGAATCGAACCCGGGCCTTCGACGTGACGAACGAACGGTTTAACCACCGCTACGCTACCCCATCGCCCCAATCCTAATTAGACGTATTTTATAGTATTAGTTCAACTGTAAGTTTTTCAATCTGGTTATATAAAGTTTGCTAATATAGACTTGATACTCTAACACCAATTCCAAGGCCACCATACAAGGGTCCGTGGGGACTTAAAATACTTCTACTTTCTGCACGGTTCTCCAGCTGCATTTATACCATCCCTTCAGCTGCTAGCGATTGTAAGTACTGTTAGCCATTTATGTAAAAACTACAAATACGATTAAAAACGATGGTAGATATGAATGTACTGTGGTTGAAGTGGGCTTATATACACTCTCAAGGGGGCAATAATTTTACAGTACATCCACCCCGTCAAGGGTACCGCCACTACAAATCACAGTAAATGTTCATGTGTTACCTGTCTATTACATATGTACATCCAAATTTATGAATCAAATCAATTTCTTTTAAAAAAACAATAACTAAATGAAAACTGATATTATTAAAACGAACTTTCATAATTAGTGATTTGAAATAGTTATCCCTTGTGATGGGAAAATCGGTACAGTCAAGCAGGACATGCTTGACCGTGATTCTCTCATCACAAGGGACACAAAATGGAGGATCTTCACCTTTCAATAAATATTCATGAGTGTATCTACTGTGACCAATACGACATCGTCTTACAATGTCTTCTTCAAATCTGGACCGACAGCCTAAGTAGTCAATCAATCTTTATTTCATACTGAAAGGCCACAGGCCTGTAGTACATTGTTTAATCATGTGCGGGTAGTAGAACATTCTTTCTGAGAATAAAAGCTTTATGGATATATATGGACAATCTTTCTAAATGTGTTTTACTGGAATTATTCATCAATGATATAAACTTATGCGTTTCAGGATGTACATAATAATATTTCTTTATATATCTATTTCTTAACGATAAGTATGCTGGGCAAACACATAAAAGTGAAACTCATCTTCGACCTCGTGTAAGTTGCACATTTGGCAGATTCTACTTTCTTTCTCAATACCTTGGTATCTCCCAGTTTCAACATATAAATCATGCGCGGAGCAGCGGAATCTCGCTAATGAAGATTTATATTTCCTTATGGTCAAGACTGAAAGATAATGTTCTGTATATATGGAATCTTTTATCATTTTGTAGTAAAAACATTTATTAGATAATGAGAGACTAGTTAACCAATTTTGAAGGAATATATCTTTAAGTCTTTGTTTAACTGTACAGACAAAGTGAGAATGAGATTCTACAAATTGTTCATGCCAGGCATTGCCGAAGCCGATAGATGATAATAACTGTTTTATGTCTGTTACCCAATTACGTTTCCCATGGCTATCATATAGTATCATCATTTCATAACATTTTCTTGGCAATCTGTGTGAGGGCATTGTTAATAATTTCAACCAATATCTAATAATTTTACATTTGATTCTATGTACAATGGATATCTTCCACATTCTCCGTAGACCATACAAGTTGACGTGGCTGTTTTTACGCCCAGAAATTTCTTGCATGCATACAAATTGACTTTTTCTATGACATCAAAGTTTTAAAACCCCATACTTCTGCACCATATAACAAAATTGGGTATATTTTGGCGTCAAATATTTTGAAAAAAGACTTGTAAGACAAGTCGCCTAAAATATGTATATATTTTATTATACCTATTAATATTTTCTTTGCTTGTATAGCTGCCTGTGATGTGTGTACTGCCCATGAAAGATGATTGGTAAAATGCACACCTAAGTATTTATACGAAGTGGTTGTTTCCAGTCTATTTCCCTTGAAGAACCATTTTTCATTATTGGCTAGCTTACCTCCATTTTTAAAAACAACTATCTTTGTTTTAGCCTGGTTTACAGTTAGTTTCCATTTATCACAATAATTCTCTAGTTCAATAATCTCTCTTTGTAGGCCTTTAATTGTGCTTGAAAACAATATGATGTCATCGGCAAATAGTAACAGGAATATTTGTATTATATCTGGATGTAATTGGATACCGTTTGAACAGTTTTCTTGGATTTGGGTTGCTAGTTCATTTATGAAAAATGTAAATAGAAAAGGGCTTAATATACAGCCTTGTCTGACTCCTAATTGGCTCAGAAATGTATCTGATAATTCATTATTACTCCTTACACAAATTTTCACATTTGCATATATGCTCCGCAGTAATTTTCCCATTTTGCGACTGACACCATGCTTGTCTAAGAGATTCCATAGTTTGTTCCTGTTTATTGAATCGAACGCCTTGGAAAAATCTACAAATAAGGCATAGAATTTTTGTCCCTTTTGATTAAGATATTTCTGAATAATAGAATGTAAAACAAATATGTTATCAATAGTAGTGTATCCCTTCCTAAAGCCAGCTTGTGATTCTGTTATCTTGTCTAGAGTATCTGCCCATTTAACTAACCTCTTATTTATGGTAGATGTAAATATTTTGCTAAATATGCTTAATAACGTTATGCCCCTATAATTTTCAGGATTGTTTACGTCTCCGTTCTTATGTATAGGAACTATTATGCCAGTGGACCAGGATTTTGGGAAGTATCCCTTTTCCAAGATGATATTAAATATCAGTTCTAAGAGTGGCAATAGTAAATCTGTAGAGTGTTTAAAAAATTCAGAGATGGTAGAGTCTATACCAGAAGATTTATTAGCTTTTAAGTTTGTGATACTATGAAGTATTTCCTCCTTAGTAATTGGTGAGTCAAGAATATCTTCTACGAAGCTTGGACTAAAATCAGAACAATCAGAATTGTTCACTTCTGTGTCAGACTGGTCACGTAATGCACTGTCATAATCCGAGTGGGAGAACAGGTCACTGAAATAATTGTACCAATCTTCAATTTGTATATTATTTCGCGAATGCGCTTGTCCGTTTATTTGTTTCAGCATAGACCAGAATGTTTTTGAATCATTTATACAATTCTCTAATTTTTGTTGTTTTACCTTAAAATATTCATTTCGCTTTTGTCTACAAAGTGCATGGTATGCATTCCTACTGCGGTGGTATTTTTCTAGAGTGTCTGCGTCTTTCGATTTCCTAAATTTGTTTAAATATCTACATCTTTCTTTTTTAAGTTTCCTGCATTCAGTATCGTGCCATGGATTTTCATATTGTCTACTGGTGTGATTTATTTTTTTCATGTCGCTAGCAGCTATGCAAAGAGCTTCAGTTATCAAATCAACACTTCTATCGATATCAGTAAATGCTGAATCCAGAGACTCACTAAGTAGTCCTTGTACATTGTCTGAAAGAATGTTTTGTCTAAAGTGGTCTAATTTATCCTGTTCCCAAATAAATCTAAAGGATTTCTTTTCATTGTATTGGGGGTACCCATATGAGTGAAGCGCACGTAAACACAAAGTGAGAGGTAGATGGTCAGATTCTGTGCGGGACGGGATTGAAAAGTCACGAACACTGTCAAACAGTGATGACGACGCTATAGCATAGTCTACTACACTCGTGCCATTAACACCAATATAAGTAGAATCACCTACTTCCGCATCCGATCCACATCGACCATTCATTATGTGGATATTCAATACAGAGCACAAATTGAGAAGGCACTTCCCAAAATTATTTACAATTTTATCAGTAGAAAATCTCTTGATGTTAAAATAGTCTATAAGAAAATCCCACATTGAGCTTTCTCCACCTTCTGTGTATTCAATAATGTCATCTTCAACAAAGTCTAGGTCTGTACCTGTACGGGCGTTAAAATCCCCTCCGCACAAAATATGTACATCTTGCATATTAGACAGTAAGTCCAGTAATTTATCTTGAAATAAAGTGATACCATTTTTACAAAGTAGACCAGCTTTGTTGTAATACGTGGATCCCTGTGGGTGTATATAGGCACAGGCATATAACACATCAGTGTCCAGTTTAAAGAGAATCTTATCAAAGATGAGAAAAACACAATTTTCAGTAATTTTAGACCCCAAAATGTACTTCGTGAAATGATGTTTTATCATCACCACTATCCCACCAGAGAGTCTGCCACCTATAGAGATCCTTTCTGCCGGTTTGTTAATTATGTCATAGTCTGGAAACACATGTTCAATATACAATACTTGCTTAATAACGGTAAAACTCAACGTCGCTCTCACTGTAATAAAGAAGTTGTTCATCAATATATTGGGGCGGTGGGATAGCCTAGTGACAACCTGGGTTCGATTCCCACATGGGTGAATGTGTGATGCCCATTTCTGTTGTCCCCCGCCGTGATATTGTTGGAATATTGCTAAAAGCGGCGTACAGCTAAACTCACTCACTCACGCATTCATGGCTTGAGTCACCATCATTCACTGAAAGGTTGTAAAGGTTAAACATTCCTGGTTATCTGTCAGTGTTGTTGCCACTGAAATACGTTAAACTTCATGAGTCACCATCAGACCAAGATAACTGAAAGGTTGTATAGGTTAAACATTCCTGGCTTGAGTCACCATCAGTGTTGTTGCCACTGAAAGGTTGTATAGGTTAAACATTCCTGGCTTGAGTCACCATCAGTGTTGTTGCCACTGGAATGCATCTTCGAATGTGAAAGTAGAGCCATCCGTGAATGTATTACTATAATGTGGACTGTCGATTGAGTGTTTATTATTTTAAATTTAAATTGTGTTTATCTATCTGAATAACGAACATATGTTTCAACATTTGGACAAATATCTACTCCGTTCGCGAATACGTGGTATCTTTATTATTTGTCAGAGGTGGGGCTGATATGGTTTAGTAACGCCTACATGAGACAGAAGGCTGTTGCCATGAAAACAGCGTTCACATTGACTTCACTTATCTTCATCAACGGTTGCTACTGGCAAGCCAACAAATTCACGTGATTTTGGTTTCAAATTAACCATGCCTTTTCCTAGAATATTTGTTTTGTCTACAGCACAGTGCACGTGGGGTTTGTTTATTTGTTGTTTTACGCCGCACTAAGCAATATTCCAGCTGTATGGCAGCGGTATGTACATAATCGAGTCTGGACCAGATAATCCAGTGATAAACAGCATGACCAAGAAACCAGGATTCATTCATTATTTCTTTCGTTTTTGTTTGTTATTAAATCAACTTGACTATTTTATCTGTTTTTGTCGCTTATGACTCAAAGCTCTGTTATTACTTAGATACATACCATGATTATGGTGCCTGTGGTGTTTATAGAATCTAGGTCTAGCTAATTATTACACATAGCAAATGGGGTTATATATTGACTGACTGACTGACTGAGTCGAGTTTTACGCTGCTTTTAGCAATATTCCAGCAATATCACGGCGGTGGACACCAGAAAAGGGCTTCACGCATTGTGCCCATGTGGGGAATCGAACCCGGGTCTTCGGCGTAACGAGCCAACGCTTTAACCACTAGGCTACCCCACCGCCCCGGTTATATATTGAAACACTGTACATGTTCTACTGTACCTTCATCTTCAGTTCCCTTCCTATCATGAACGGCATTTTTCATCTGAAAATAAGACATTAAGTTATATTTCTTACAAAACCGAGTGATAAATGTGTTCAGCTGCTGTCGCACTAATACAAAAACGCTCACACAAAAATGCTAAGGTTTATAGTTTCATGTCGGAGTGTTTATAATTAAAGAGTTCTGGGTTAGTAGCTGAAAGAAATAAAGGCAACAAAACACTTTTCATATTCATAGGAGATATCTACCCCAAACTGACTCGGTTGTATGATTTCGATTTTTTTTCATTAGCATGTTTTATTAATTACTATCAAATAGTGGTGGCGTCAGGTGTTCAAGGAGCCTGTGAAATTCCGGTTAAGAGTAGGTTTTCAGCAATCCGTGCTAACGGGATCCAGAACAACAATGCCGATCAAACAATTAGGGATCGGATGGTCAGGCTTGCTGACTTGGTTGACACCTGTCATCGTATCCCAATTGCGTAGATCGATGATCATGCTGTTGATCACCGGATTGTCTGGTCCAGACGCGATTATTTATAGACTGTCGCCATATAGCAGGGTTATTGCTGAGTGCGGCGTAAAACAACAAATAAATCTGAAAGCTTTACTGAGGACTTGAATATTGTAGCTTTGAACAGTTTCTTTTGAATGAGTCGTTTGACGCTCTTTAAACTCTTTAGATAAATTCATGCGAACTACAACAAGTAACACTCACGGAAAACGAAAGTTTCTGGTGGTTTCGCCCCTGTGTACCGACATCGACACAGAGAACAGCGACACAGGCAATGATGAACACAAATACGACTGCTACGATCACTGTCATAACTTTCAAACCACGGGCGTGGCATTTACTTAGAGATCTCCCTTGTGAAACCCACACATCGTCACATGCGTCGTATTTGTCCCCGTCCATGCTGTGAGATGAGTATGTTTTAGTGTTACTAGCGAACGCCGATGACCTGACAAAGACACCTAACAGGAAATGTTTTCAATTTCGAAATCCTTCCTGGTCTAAAATTACAACAGAAACAACATTACATTGACCCTGAAATTCAATACAATGACTAAACAGGAAGTACAGAGATATATTCATGTTGAATGATATTATACTCTTCAAAAAAGAAACGCATAGGCGTTTTGAGCAGTTCATGTCGATATATTTTGACAGCAATATATGTTTGAATCCCGTTAATCATGTCATCGTTGTTGTATATTGCGCACAAACGCAGCCAGAAATGTGTTTGTAAACGTTAGTCTTAAAATATGAAAAGATTCCAGCATATTCATGCTGAATGATATTATCATAAAATGACTAATTTCTATCATGTACTTTCTTTAAATAGGGGTTGAACAGTCAGCAATATTCCAGCGTATTCCTTTTTGTATACTCATGGGATTTCTGGGCAAGTGAGTGACTTTAGTTTTACGCCGCTTTTAGCAATATACCAGAAATGGGCTTCACACATTGTACCCATGTGGGGAATCGAACTGGGGTCTTCGGCGTGACGAGCGAACGCTTTAACCACTAGAATACTCCACCACCCCTATAGTGTTTCTATTATTTTATATGTAGTTCCTAATGAGCTTTTGCACAAACGCACACACGGATAAACGCATGTATAGAAATCGATACAAATGGAATTAGATGTATGTTGTAACGTTGCTATGTGAGGGATGTTGCCCTCATTACTTCAAAATGGCTATTGAGTTTTTGAACATCTTTTGACTGAAATATAGACTTAAATAGGGGCGGTGGGTTAGCATAGTGGCTAACGCGTTCGCTAGTCACGCTGATGACTCGTGTTGATACCCCACATTGTACATTGTGTGAAGCCAATTTCTCCTATATTGCTAAAAGCGGCGTAAAACTAAACTCACTTATATTAACAGGACATTGAAATCAAATACAAATATCCATTACGGTTTGAGGATATATTCATAAACTGGAGTTGGCGGATCCATTTAGGGCATAAGATAGATAAGATAAGATAATATGCTTTTATTACCCGTGAGGGGAGTTTGTGTACATCAGAGGCATATGACATATTAAAACAGAAAGCACGATACAAACAGACATACAAACATAAACAATAGTATTTAACACATCCAAAGCAATAGTGCATGTATAATCCTTAAAAGTTAAACAAAATAAGTTATAACCATAACTACAAGCCTAACACAACAGATGACAGAATACATCAGATTGGTGTAAAAGAGATATACTGACGGGAATAAAATATTGTTTTGCCCTCTTAGATTTACATTGGGGATAAGATATCTACAACCAGAGGATAAAAGCTTATAACAAGAGCTTAAAACATGAGATGAGTCATTTAAAATTCTTGAGGTAAGATTAAAAAAAGTTGAAATGTATAGAGTTTCTAAAATTCCAAAAATTACTAAAACATATTTTCCCTGCAACTTTCACAACTCTCTTCAGCTTGTTCTTGTTCTGGAGCGTTAAGGGTCCATGACACAACTGTATTGAAAAAATTGAAATAGATTGTATACATGATTTGTAGAATATAATTGCATTGCGTATACAATACGAACACGCTGTTGACAAGCATCTTGTTGCATGTGACAAACATACATACATACATACATACATACATACATACATACATACATACATACATACATACATACATACATGCATATATATACATAACTTTTTCAGTACAAACAGGGTTACATATCAACTACTTTATCACATTCATATTTTACAGCACCCGTCTAAATGTCTTCATCACATATTCATGTGGAGTGAGCCTGCCTTTCAACAAGTCATAAAATGACAAATGCATCACAGGCTTTTATAACCAGATAGATCATTACAAAACTGTAATCTATTATACACCGACGTACGTCAGCTTGCACTTTCGTACCGATATTTCTGTAATCTTATGCCGCCTCTAAAGTGAACATATAATCTCATGATCGGGTAATTCTACTGAAAATGGCTGCCTATGACATGCCATTCTTTTGTTTTTATGATAATATTTTCACTTCGATGTTTTAACAGAATCGTGGTATATTGTCGAAAAACGCGGCGCTGAGAAAATACAAAGTTTACTTGTTTTCTCAATGAAATAACTCATGATTTAAATATAAACGGGTAGAAAATATAACAATCATTAATCATATCGTATCTGAGTTGAGTTGGGCTTTACGTCACACTGGCATTATTCCAGCCATATTGTGAGGATCATTGCATTCATAAACGTTTTAAGTCCAAGGTCCAAATGAGTTTTATTTCACACACACACACACACACATTCATTACATTATTAACATGAGAGAGAGAGAGAGAGAGAGAGAGAGAGAGAGAGAGAGAGAGAGAGAGAGAGAGAGAGAGAGAGAGAGAGAGAGAGAGAGACCCACGATGTGCCCAACTCTGAAGCCAAGGGACGTAATTCTCCACAGCGATTTACATGACTTGACCATCCTGAACGTCAAAACATGCAACATGAATGATTTCGAACTGAAACAAATCTTTCAGACACCACTTTATTTGTTTACATTTTGTTGAACATTTCATGACTACGCAAATAAGTGATACACATTGTGTCAGCTTCGCCCAATGCATTATGAGTATGAAGATATTTTACATTCTCTTCATCAACTTACTACAAGTTGGGAAATGGAATAGAGTTTGTGTGGCAACATAGGAAAACATGATGCAATCACAAACAGTGACACAGAGAGAGGCACACACACAAGTCGGTTCGGTTCATCGTAAAATCGTATTGATAGATGTAAGAAAAAGCAACATGCACAACATGCTATGTTGATATTGGTTACAAAACAGGGTCGACAACGAATCTATTCAATCACTTGAAGCGGAAACATAATGTGGATGGCAAGGAGTCACGTACGACGGCAACGAAACCACGAATTGATGAGAGCAAAATACGTTTCAGTGGCCAACAAACTTTATCACAAGTTGCTGCGAAGTCAAACGTGACTCTGGAAACTCTTAAGTTTTCAGAAGCTCAAACATCAGAAGATGCTTGGAAGAAAAAGTTGATGTCATGAAATTGGAGAGGATTTGGAGGGGTGCATCGGTAACAACCGACAACGCTGCTAACATTGTGAAAGCAGTTAATGAGTCGGGACTTAATCCGCACATAACATGCTTTGCTCACACGTTGAATCTTGCCACCCAGCGTGGTTTAAGAGTTGCCCAGATGGAGAGAGTACAGTAGAGTGAGGCGTGTTGTACGCTTTTTTCACAAAAGCACATCAGCAACAAGTACACTTACACTGATGCAGACAAAACTTGAATTACCACAAAATATGTCGGTAATGGATGTTGCCGTGAGGTGGAATTCAACATATGACTTGTTGGAAAGATATGTGCAGCAGCAGGCTGCAGTATTTGCTGCAATGCTTGAACTAAAGAAGAACATTAAAGAACTTGTCACACTCACTGATGAAGATCTGATCAATATTGAAGAAATACTGCATATTCTGAAGCCAATAAAGACTGTTGCGACAAAGATGTGCAGTCAGACACACCCAACAGTATCCATGATACATCCCTTCAAGGAAATGCTTCTGCATCACTTGAAGCGCCAATTTAGTGACAACACTCTAGTCCCTGGTGTGAAGAAGGCAATTACGTCTGATCTGGAGTCAAGGCAAGTTTTATAGAGTGAGTGAGTGAGTTTAGTTTTAAGCCGCACGCAGCAATATTCCAGCTATATGGCGGCGGTCTGTAAATAAAAGTTTTTAAGAAGTTTCAATTAAAAGTAAATAATATAAATTCAAAATGAGACATTAAGTCCAGTAAAAGTATATTATAATATAACAGCTATAATATTTATTTATATAAAATAGTGTAGATTAAAGTTTCAATTAAGAATAGATATCATAAATTCAAAATGAGACAATATGCCCAATATAACATAATATGAAATAGTGTAGATTAAAATTATGACAATATGATATATAGACAGTATGATTATAATGATAAGAACAAATTACAACAAGTATTTGCCACTAGTATGGCAATGTCCCCCGCCGATAAAGAAGAATGAGATATTTCTAACATATTTACTACTTTTTATTTTTTGGTCACATACAAGAAATGACTGGTGTCTGCATAATCACCCAATGTAGGCTGTCGACATAATTGAAGACATTGGGTGCTATGTTTTATGAGAGATCGCGTTTACATAATTTTTAAAAGTGGCCAAATGTCGTGGTGACCTTGAAGATAAGGTAAAGGTCACCAAAATGGACTGGTGTCTGCGTAATCCCCCAATGTAGGCTGTCACCGAATTTGAAGTCATTGGGCACAACAGTTCATGAGATATCGCGTTATCAAGAACGGACGGACGGACGCTGCTGAATACATAGTCGGCGGGGGACAATGACACAAACACTCATGAAATATTTATTTTCAGGTATACAAGCGACTTGAATTACTTCTTCAAGTCTCGGCTCTGGATCCCCGATTTAAAAGCATGCCTTACTTGGATAACGTCATCAAACACAGAGTCTATCAGACTATCAAAGAGGAAACATTTCAGTACCACCAGTTTTAGTGTGAGGTAACCTTTCAGAATTCAACAGATAAAAGTTTTTCATTTCATCATGACCATTGACCAATGACCACATTACCTAAAATTTGTATTTAAACCTTTAGTCTGCTGAATTGTTTACAGCTTTGCTGAAAGTGTGTAAACTGTTATCCATGAGGTCACATGAGTAGTATTAAACATATTATTTTGTAGACTGTGAGAGTAAAGACTGAGGCAGGGGAGCAGATTGAAGCCCCAGGACAAACTCTTCCTAATCTACCAACTATGGATGGAGATGATCGATAGGGGACGAGTCTTCTTGAGGTTACGGAAAGAGGCGAGTGGTGACGACATTCAACATTCGTCACCACTCGCCTCTTTCCGTAACCGTTGCGGTGGGGTAGCCTAATGGTTAAAGCGTTGGCTTGTCACGCCGAAGACCCGGGTTCGAATCCCCACATGGGCACAATGTGTGAAGCCCATTTCTGGTGTCCCCCGCCTGGATGTTGCTGGAATATTGCTAAAAGCGGCGTAAAACCAAACTCAGTCAGTCAGTCAGTCTTTCCGTAACCTCCAAGAAGACGCTATTCGGCGTGTTCCGGAATAACACGAGTTGGTCACGAATGTAAAAAACTGTGACTGCCATTTCCAACTCGCGCAAGCTCCATTCACTTTTTGTAGGCATCGCAATGAAGTACATAGCACTAATATGCAGTGCACCGAGTTTAGGTAAACTGAAAGTACATGTGTTATGATTGGTTATCGTAACATGAACTGTACAATCGTATGTAGTTTAACATAATTTTCATAATACCTTAAACACCTCAAACTGACGACACGAGAACCTGTTGGATATTATGAAATATTTACTCTTAGGGGTAAAAATATCTACCAGACCACCGAAAAGGCTACTTTTGGAACCGTCCGAGATGAAAATAGTGTGAGTCAGTCCGTGGAAAGAATTTGGCTATATTGCCATTATTAAACCATCTCATATCATCACTGTATCAGGAAGTAGAAATAAGTGTTGATATTGAACTTTACGTGACTCAGCTTCGCCCGTGGGTGTGTTAAATTTACATTATACGCAAACAATGATTAACTTCAGTCTGTAAATACATCTGTCTGTCGGTGGTCAGGAAACAAATGTGGGAGACGGTTACCACATACAGGTGTGTAGCCTAAAGAGAATTGCCAACTGAAATATAATTTCGAGTAGCAGCAAAGGGCTCCTTAGTCTTTATGCAGTTTCGTAACATTGTCCTTGCTCTGCTTTTCAGAACTTCCTCAATTATTATATTCTTCTTTCTTCGTGGTTGGAGGCCAATGCATTTCAACGACTTGCTATGTATTGCGACTATACATGATTGACAATGGATCACAAGATACAAGAAAGTTAGCAGCCCTCAAACTCTTAGTCTCGAAGCTAAACTGTCAAATGTTACTTCAGTTGAATAACTTTTGAATTATCTGCCCTTGGTCCTTGGTGCTAGAGCCTTGCGTCTGTTCTGGTATATGTAATTTTTGTAAAGATACTGGATAATGGTTCTTCAGTTATGATTGGTGAAAACAACGCCGGAATGATAAATTATAAGAATAAGGATAATGATAATAATGTGTTGACAGTTCCGTACAGCTGAACGGTTAAGAAATTAGTGTTAATCAAGCGAAGTGCCATATCAAATTAATCATATTTGTGAGAAACGTATATCGTGCATCTCTGCTTCCGTCCCAACTAAACTGCACTTTGCAGTATAGAAATATATATTAAGAGTACACATTAGAGATAGTGTTTAAAAAACACAGCACAACTTTCAGAAGGTATGTCATCAGTCTGTTTCTTGCTCGAGGTCATCAGGGCCGCATTCACCGCCTTGTACAAATTGAATTGGTTGCAGAGCTTGATTGTTTGCCGTGTCAGAGAGCGTGTGTCGGCGCCACTGGTTCTTGGGTTGAAAGGATGTCCGTAACTTCTGAAACACGTATTAATATACCACCATATACCGTATTTCCTCTAATAAGTGCACGGGCGTTTATTAAATCAGTAGGGTGGTTGGATAGCCTAGTGGTTAAAACGTTGGCTTGTCACGCCAAAGACCCGGGTTCGATTCCCCACATGGGTACAATGTGTGAAGCCCATTTCTGGTGTCCCCCGCCGTGATATTGCTGGAACATTGCTCAAAGCGGCGTAAAACCATACTCACTTACTATTAATTCAGCAAACTCTCATACCGGCGCTTAATAGGGGCCAGCGCTTATTATAGACCCGGGGCCTATTTCTTGAACAGTTATGAGTGAAGCCCATTTATGGTGTCCCCCGCCGTGATATTGCCGGAAGATTGCTAAAAGCGGCGTTAAACCAAACTCACTCACTCACTCATTCTTGAACAGTTGTTTACCCCAGGCACTTATTGGAGGCCGGCGCTTATTAGAGACCAGGCGCTTATTAGATTGAATACGGTATTTAGCATTCAGGAATTTTATAAATATGTACAACATCATACACCCCGCAATGTAAAGATAAGGTGGAATACAATGAAAATTATTTTTTTACAGTTGTGTCAAAAGAGTAAAATGGTTTCGAAATGACTGTCTAAACATCTGTACTTGGGTATGAACATGCATTCGCTACAGCTGATAACGCCATACGTATACCTTCTTTAGCGTGGAGAAAATGAAATATTTAATGTCAGCTTCATGCAATAATGTTACAAATAAGTTTCATGACATGATGCCAAATGGTTCAGTCTGAACATCAGTACATACATTGGGTAAACCTGATAACGCCATATGTTTACCTGTTTGAGCGTCGTTCCAGGTGTGTTGTATACGGTCCAGATGAAGACGATCGGCAGCGGTATTATGGAAATGCAGGATATCATCCAGCCAACTCCGGCAGCCCACGCTGGGTAGATGTAGTCTCCGTATTTCGGTGGTCGGTGCGAGTAGATGGACGAGCAGAATATGGCCTAATGAAAGAAGGACAAATACAGTCAAACACCACTGTGTCGAGTTTATCCTTGTCTCGAAGTAAAAGCTTGGTCCCTGTGTATTATTATTTAGTCACAATTTTCCAAAGTATTTACGCATGTCGCTCCAACTTCGAGTCAGTTTTGTTTGACTGTATAATGAAATGTGCTAATAATTCATTAATTATGTCTTTGGGGGCTTGAAGGAAAAACAAGACATGAATTAAAACTTTCACAAGGATTTTATAGTTCTACTTTGTTTCTGGGTGTCAAAATTCCAAATTTATCATTCTGTGTTCCTATCACTGGTTTTATAAATAACTATTGTATTTCTAAAACAGATTTAACGGATAACGATTAAATCATATTTTGTATTGATTTATCTAATAGATCATGTATACAATACTGTAACAAAAATAAATACCAGGAGTGAAAGATTAATTACTTAACGGTTGTGCACTTGGGCATTGTTCATAATGTTTTAATAATTTTGGATAATTACAATGCATTGATAGCATCAATTGATTAATCTTTACATGTCTTGTTCTAATATACATTGTAATTATTAGGATGCAATTTCATACTCATGCTAAATCAAAGATTGTCACAGTCTTACCAACAATAGGAGAGGACAAACATATTTGATGGACAGCATCATGACTCTGGGGACTGCCTCTCCCCACATAGTGCTGATGTCTTGTTTCAGCCTCTCGAATCCTTAGACAAAGAAACCAAAAAGATATACATGTGTCAATATGCCTTTGTTTAAGTTGCAGACAATTCAAATAATGTGAGTTTTAGTTTTACACCGCTTTTAGCAGTATTCCAGCATTGTAAACCAAAAGTAACTGTGTTCTTTAATCTGATTGGTTGAAAATCATGATCAAATGGTATTCGATTCCCGAAAATTCGCTGCGTATGAATACGTACAAACATCGCTCACACGATTGTATTGTTACGTCGTCAGCTGTGATGACGTCATTCAAATCATATTGTGACGTAAAGTCTGAATGACGTCACAAATGAGCAGTTCCAGATGCTACCATGGGAGACAGCCGAAACGGCCGGCTGATGACATTTCACTGCTGTACCCGTACTCGATGTCAATGAGTGCAGACACAAAAACGTGTGTGCACCTTTTGGTTCACTTTTGTGTTTACAATGTCAATAAACATGACGCCGTCGGTTCCAAATGAATTCCCGTGCTTCAAATACTCATAACACCCGGAAATTGGCCAATACATGATGCTTATCTCCTAAATATCACGGCGGGGGACACTAGAAATGGGCTTCACAGATTGTGCCCATGTGGGAAATCGAACAACGGTCTTCAGCGTGACGAGAGGACGCCTTAGCCACTAGGCTACCCACCGTCACCAATAATGACGTTGATGACCTTACAGGTAGTTTGATGAATTTGGTTTCACTTTTCTTTGTATTTCAAAACTATCAAATTTCTCAACGTCAACGTCACGTCATTAAACTGAGAAATCAGTTAAAGTCTTTAGTTTAAAATATTTGATTTATTCGTGTCTAACTGATGAACTGACATTAGTCAATATGCAGAGCTGAATACTCATCAAGATGTGTGAGCGAGTTGGTTTTACGCCGCTTTTAGCAAAATTCGAGCAATATTCTAGGAACACCAGAAATGGGCTTCACGCATACCCATGTGGGGAATCGAACCCGGGCCTTCGGCGCGACGAGCGAACGCTTTAACCACTTGACTACCCCACCGCCCCGAATCCTCATCAGATTAAAGAAATAAGTTAAGATGTCCTTACCGTAGCACCAACTGACAAGGATACACTCCAGCATTCCGAACACAGCTATGGCAGGGAAGAAGGCGTACCAGTCAGTCAGAGTCACAAGGTAAACACCACCCTTAAAACGACATAGGGCAGCATTTTTATTTTCCGTGTTTCTCATCGCCCGACCGACACTTATATAAAATGTTTATCATTATAAAATGTTTATCGTCATATAAAATGTTTATCTGTTAATCAGTCGCTGCCACAAGTCCAAAGAACGCGAGAAATTATAATAAGAATTACATTAAATGAGAATCAAGAACTTTATTCAGATAATTTTGTCTGTCACCTGTCTGTCAGGTGGCTACGAGAAACACATAAAAAATATGATGCCCATATTGGAAGGACTGCAAATACCAGGTGATGACAATTTGGATATTTTACGTGCGCTTTCCGACATGTTACTTTACTTCTTTGAGTGGGAGTTTTAGGAGTTGGATAGTCAGATAAGTACTTGCTTGATAACTGAGAATTCGAAACGTCGCATCACCTGAACAAAGAAGTTGTTCATCCACAACGGTTGTCCTTATTTGTGCATATTTCGCAAACGGTGTAAATACCAGGTGTAATGATCCATTCATTAATAACAGACAACAAGTGCTGCCGAGCAAGTACAAAGGTCTAAAAAGAAGCTATATTTGTATCTAATTGGATCGAGTGACTGACTGTATAGTTGTGTGGGGGGGTTGAGTGAGTGAGTGAGTTAAAATTTATCGTCACATAGGCAATATTTCAGCCATATCGTGACGAGAACAATTAATTTTATACTTAGGAAGTAATGGTGAATTGTAAAAACCTGTCAACGAAGGACAGCAAAAATAACTAAATTATCACAGATTCGAATTAAAAACTAGTAATAATATCTTAAACAGTTTAAATATAGATGAGAATACAAGGTAAAAACAGGCTATATATTGCCAACAACTGAAGGTAGATCACCATACTAGGGACCATGGGGACTTACAGTACATTTGCTTCCTGCATGGACCCTAGCTGGAGCTACACCATCCCTTCAGCTATTAGCAATGTTAGATAATCTAGCCACAGATTAAACGAACATATATTCTACGATTAAAATGGTAGTAGGTTTAAATTGAATGTTTTGGGGACTTACGTACCCTCTCAGGAGGACAATAATTTTACAATACTTTAACCCCCTTTGAGGGTACAGCCACTGACAATCTAAGTTACTGATCTAAACTACCAATCATTACAATCATTAAATCTACAGAACATATTAATCAAAATTCATTAATTAAATAAATTTCTTTTAAATAACCAAGAATTAAATGAAATTCAATAGTACTAAAGAGATCCTTAACAGTGTAACATTGAAATATTTATCCCTTATGATGGAGAATTCAACACAGTCAAGCAGGACATGCTTGACTGTGACTCTCTCATCACAGGGGATACAAAGCGGAGGATCCTCACCTTTTAACAGATATTTCTGAGTATAACGTGTATGGCCAATGCGACATCGTCGCATAATGACCTCCTCAAATCTGGACTGACAACCCAAGTAAGTGTAACCAATATAGGGTTTTATTTCATGTAATTTGTTAATACCTACTTGAGTGTCCCACTTCTTCTGCATTAGATCACGGATATAAGATCTAATGACGGCTTTGTAATCAGAATATGGGATAAAAAGTGGTGTCACAGATTTGTTGAGTACTGCCTTGGCAGCAAGATCAGCCATTGTGTTACCAGAAATTCCAACGTGACTTGGCAACCAACAGAAGACGATGTCGTATTGGCCAGTAGCAAGATCGTTATATAATTCAATAATGTCTATTAAAAGCGGATGTTTACAAGAAAGATTTTTAATAGCCTGAAGGCACAAAGGAGAATCTGGTGTTGGGGTTGATATTTGACTGCAATACATATTACCTATTACACATTGCAGCGTTAAACAAGCATCAAATGCATCTGTATGGTATGGAAATTGGAAAGTAAGAACAATCTAAACTCTGTTGACCCGTGAAGAATCCGGGTAGAATAGGTCTTCAGCTACCCATGCTTGCCACAAAAGGCGACTATGCTTGTCGTAAGAAGCGACTGACGGGATCGGGTGGTCAGGCTCGCTGACTTGGTTGACACATGTCATTGGTTCCCAATTGCGCAGATCGATGCTCATGCTGTTGATCACTGGATTGTCTGGTCCAGACTCGATTATTTACAGACCGCCGCCATATAGCTGGAATATTGCTGAGTGCGGCGTAAAACTAAACTCACTCACTCACTAAACTTTGTTATTAGTTTGCAGTATTCCAGCTGTATGGCGGCGGTCTCAAAATATCGAGTATGAACCGGACAGTCCAGTGATCAACAGCATGAGCATGGATGCTTGCAATTTGGCATACGATGACATGTGTCAACCAAGTAAGCGAAAATTGTCCATCCGATCCCGTTAGTAGTCTCTTACGACAAACATGGGTTACTGAAGATCGATTCTAACCCGGAACATCTGCTACAGCCTGACCATATACAACATACAGAGTTGCAGCTGCTGCAGTGGCAGGCCAGCATACATATTCTGCTCAATTCTAACCCGGATCTTCTTTGTATGCGTGGATCCAATGATTCTTTACCTGTGTGACGCAGGGCAGGGCAAACAAAAAGTTGGTCAGGAGAATCAGGCAAATGATGACCCATCGTCGTTTTGTTGCTCCCAGAAATGTGTCTTCGAGGGCGGCAAGTATTACTTCTATTGCAGGTAACTTAAAGCAGACAGAAAACATTTTCAAGTGTCCAGTTTATTATATTTTTGTCATTGAGGATTTTGGGGGAGAAAATGTTCCAAAGAACATGCTTTTGTTTGTACGAAGCTACCACATAGATTGGGTCGTCAACATCGACACGCCGATGGCAAGGTAATCTGCTTGTAATTTGTCTGATCTGTCTTGTCAACAATATTATAAACTGGATGCTAACACATGTAAGATATATTGGCTAGTATAATTTGTTTAAGTGGCATTCTAGAAACTAGTTGATGGTACAGATATGACAAAACTTTGAGGATGATCAACTTCTTTATATTCACAATAGCGACGTTTCTTGTAGCTTCTTATACCGTTTTCAAGCATTTGTGAATATAACGAAGTTTTGTCATCTCTTGACTAGTATAGTTTTACACAGCAAACACTAAATAGTTATATATACTATCCCCAAAAGAAACGCATAGGCGTTTTGTAATTTTAAAAATCTATTAATTACCAATTGTGTTAAAACAATCGTCAAAATATTTAACAAAAGTGTTGATAACATGATTTTACACTATTGCACAAGTTCAAAATCGACTTTACCGGAAAATGTTGATTTTGATGAGATTTCTTTACAAGAATTAAAGAGGCATCGCCACAACGCAACATAAATCACCTTACACTTGAAATTGTGCAGGAAAGAGCATGCACTGTCTGGCTATAAAAGTCCAGATTACTTTCGGAAATCGGCATTCGTTTTGAAGGAGTTTAAAGGTCTAATCACTACGCCACGTCTTGACCCTGCGTCACGGAACATCGCCATTGAAGGAGTGCACGCTGGAGATTACCAATTTCTGTTGCCAGGCGTCTGAATGTTAGTCTGAGCACGATAGCACTGCTTGCAGCTCGTTACAACCAAACAGGTATAGCAAATGCTTGTCCCCGTACAGGCAGACCTCGAGTCACCACTGCAGCCCAAGATCGGTACATCCGAGTACTACATTTGCGTGATCGTACTGCCACGGTTGAAAGCATAGCAACCAGGATGCCTGGACTTCGGAGGATATCCGGTCAAACTGTACGGAACAGGTTGAGAGAGATTGGACTGAGAGCCAGGAGACCCGACGTCGGGACCATGCTACTTGATCACCATCCCGCTGGACGTCTCCGTTATATAAAATTATCCACTTGGTTGTATAGACATCACCTTCTTCTAAACTGATGAAAAAATTCATGTACTAAATCGCAACAGATTTCTGGGTTATGCGTTTCTTTTTTGGAATAGTATATATATAAACATTCAATGATACATCATGTTGATTTGATTGGTTCATCTTAACGTATGGGTCTTATAATTCTACAATGTCGCTGTCGTGATGCCTGTAGCCTTAACCTCCTTCTGTGTGTTTTTAAAATGACGTATTTCCTGTTCAGTTTGTTATGACTGATTGAAGAACATGTTTAAACATTTATCAAATTTGTACCAGTGTGTCCACTTCAAGGGTCATCAGTGTGAGGAAGGTCAACACTGACCAGATTTGCGGTAGGGGGAGATAACTCAGGACTTGAGGGTAGGCAATAAAAGCCAGGTCGAAGCCTGAAATAGATTTGTCATTTAAATCAAGGCGCTCAACATGACATTATAATTCACATAAGAATGAAAATATTTCTTTGATCAGAACAGGTGCCCATCAGCTTAGTCGGTCAAAGTGGTTACTAGATAGTGAGTAACTTGGAACTATAAACTAGGCACATAAAGAAACTGTGCATACAAAAATTTAAAATCTAAATTTATCAAACCTGTGTAGACACATAAGGATTTAAACTCAGAGATTAGTGACATGTATCCAACATGCATGCACGTGCCACGTTCCGTGACGTCAGTGGGTTCGTCCTTGAGACATGCAATACGTTGTTGCACGTGCATTCCGGGAAAGAGAAACAGAGCAAATGAATGCCACACAATACTGTCACTTTAGAAGCTCAACCCCTGCTCTTGCGATCGTTCAAAAAATTAAACGGCTATTGAAACGCATAGTATGCCAAGGCTCACGTCTGCACAACGTCATGAGGCCATTGGGATGGTCCGTGGCTGCACATTTCCACTGCCACCGGAACACCATTTCTGCACTGGTGAGACGCTACCAGAACACAAATGACGTCATCGATCGGCCACGTTCTGGACGTCCACGTGTAACAACGCCAAGACAGGACAGATGGATAAGGGTGATCCATCTTCACCACAGGTTTCAGACTGCAGTGATGACTGCCCGAACCATCCCAGGACTTCGCCGTATCCATCCCAACACAGTTGGACAACGTTAACGTCATCACGGGATCAGACCACGACGTCCCGCCATACGGCCTA